TTTCTACTAATAGATTCTTCACTGTAATACATGTTTAATGATCCTGTACTATTCCCACCTTAACCACGTGTTGCTCCTGCCATGACCCCATTCAGTATTTTTCTTAACAATATGTTACCATCTTCAGTCTCAAAAAATTATTTGCCGTGACTTAGAAAATGGGCCACAATGGTTTTAAAGAAGAATATAATGGAACTGGAAAAAGTTCAGAGTTGGACTTCAAATAGAAGAAGATTTTTGTCACAAATAACGTGACTTGCTTTAAAAACAGGTCCTAGGGTATATGAAAACATTATTGAAATATATACAGGGCCAGAACAAACAGCTAACTGGTAACCTGCTCATTAAGGAGGACAAGAGGTCACCCATTTAGACTTGAAGAAAGGAGATTTTGCCTTCAGCAGAGGAAACAAATGTGTACAATAAGAATCATGGGGCATTTGCTTTCTAAGCAGGTGCTTTATTTGGATAAAAACAGAACACCATCAGATGGGAAACTGGGGGTGGAATTTTATCAAGACACATTTCCCCTTTTTGTGGCACAAATGGAATTTGCTTCAGATTATGTTTTTACAGCTTTTTTTGATCAACAGAATAAACAGATGTGCAAAAAAACTGAACTAGATGAACCTTTTCCAGTCAATATTACTATATAAATATATGAACCTTGGACGTGGAAATGAATTCCTGCAGACTTCTTGCTTAAAATTTTTAAAATGATTTATTTTCAGTATAAAAGAAATATTGTCTCCTATTCACCTTTTAATCAATTAGCACTGCTTGGACACAAAGTATCCTTCAAAATAAATCTAATGATTTTAATTAAATGCCAATTAAAACGGCTGTATTTCATGGTGTCTGTCCATAATCTGCCCACTTGATCCTCCTTACTCACATTTTTTACTTTTTTTTTCCCCGATAATTTTAGAGTCACATATCCGTGAAATACCATTATTCCTTATTTTTATTACTGTTTATTACACTTTGAAGATAATGCACCGTGTGTTCTATTATTTTTTTTTTTACCATACTCCGCTCTGCTCTATGCCTGTGTTTCTGTAAGATCCAATGTTAGGAGAGGTGGTTCATGCCCAGATTGTTAGCAATCAATAAGGGAGGAGACAACCAACGGCCAAACATGATTTATAACACAAACAGGTTCTCACTATGAACACCCAGTCTTCCTCCAGGGCTAAATAAATACATAGAACAAATATATACTACATGGGAGCATGCTTTATAAAAGATCAATATACATTATTTAATAATCCAAAAATAAATAGTAACGTATTATTCGAAAATCAGACACACAAGATAATAAATACAAGAATTACAATCCCTATCAAATGCCTTTCTCGATGCCTTGAGAAAGGCATTTTGGCTGAAACAATGGGGGTTATTGCTGTCTTTTGGTATCGGGATTATCAATAAAGACATTGTACCTTTGTGTGTGCATTGCTTGTGTATACCTGTGTGTGCATTGCTTGTTTTATACCTGCGTGAGCATTGCTTGTGTATACCTGTGTGTGCATTGCTTGTGTATACCTGTGTGAGCATTGCTTGTGTATACCTGTGTGTGCATTGCTTGTGTATACCTGTGTGAGCATTGCTTGTGTATACCTGTGTGTGCATTGCTTGTGTATACCTGTGTGTGCATTGCTTGTTTTATACCTGTGTGAGCATTGCTTGTGTATACCTGTGTGTGCATTGCTTGTGTATACCTGTGTGTGCATTGCTTGTGGTATGTATACCTGTGTGTGCATTGCTTGTGTATACCTGTGTGAGCATTGCTTGTGTATACCTGTGTGTGCATTGCTTGTTTTATACCTTGCATTGCTTGTGTATACCTGTGTGTGCATTGCTTGTGTATACCTGTGTGCATTGCTTGTGTATACCTGTGTGAGCATTGCTTGTTTTATACCTGTGTGAGCATTGCTGTGTGTATACCTGTGTGTGCATTGCTTGTGTATACCTGTGTGTGCATTGCTTGTTTTATACCTGCGTGAGCATTGCTTGTGTATACCTGTGTGAGCATTGCTTGTGTATACCTGTGTGAGCATTGCTTGTGTATACCTGTGTGAGCATTGCTTGTGTATACCTGTGTGAGCATTGCTTGTGGTATGTATACCTGTGTGTGCATTGCTTGTGGTATGTATACCTGTTTTTTTGTTTTGCACTTTTCATTATGTACACTGATTTTAATGTTGCAGATCGTTAGATTCCTAGTTATTGTGATTACATCTTTATTTAAAAAAAAACTATTTTCTTGAATTTTTTATCTTGTTTTTCTGATTTTTTTTATTACATAGAGTTTATTTACCTTTTTTCTGTAGTGTACTCCGATGTAGTAGTTTTATATTTACTAAACGTAGCAGGTTCAAATCCAAATGGGGAAATTGAGTCTGAAAAGGTCTAACTATAATCGAATTGTATCAAATCAGCTAATTTAGCCTTTTGGTTTTAATTCTCTACAATTTGAAGATTAGTGTATAATGCTGAATAAAGCGAATTGTTCGAAATTAAATAACCAATTGCAAATTTTTAGAAAAGTAGCCAAACTGAACGATAAAACCTGCAAATATGTGATTTCTTCTATTTAGATATGGTGGGCTAATTGTGCGTTCCAAGCTCCTCTGATATGGTACAATAGTATAATTATAGCATATTATGTATTTTATTCTTATCTATATATTATATATAATTATATTACAGCAGATATTAGAAGCTATTTCCAGGATAAACGCTTGGGAATATCTGACTGATTGACAACAGTTCATGCAAAGTCTTACAACTTACGTGTTAGGATTGGTTTAGTTGGGATTACCATTATCATAGTTAATTGTGTGATCAAATATTTATATTGAAAAACAAAACTTCATCCATTTAATTATCAAACCGTTTCGATACAGACTGCAAACAAGTTTATTACGTCTCCAAGGTTAGTTTTATAACTCTAATAAAAACCCATTGAACTCGAACGAAGAGAAGGTCAGATATACTGCTTCTTACATATATTATATTCGTGTTATCAATAACTTACACATATTATTAAATTAGAATTCTCTTAAAATACAGTGTACTTACATAATACAGTAATGGGCTCGCTCCTGAATGCTTGTAATGAAGCCGTAAAATGCTACAAAGAATAAAAACATAAAGAGATACAGAAATCTGCATCTTCTGAAAGCCATGTTGGCGAGAGACCTGCTGTGACTGAGTCGGAGAGGTGACACTCTGGGTGTGACTCTGTCAGGTATGCTCAGGTCAGGGGAATCAAGTGACTGTTGACTCGACAGAATTCAGAAATGTGATTATAATGAAGAGGTTTTGTTTGCATTCACACTGTTACTTTGAGAATATTTTGTCATTGTTAGAAAATTGCTACTGTTGACAAAATAGTAGATGATATAGTATGACCAGGAGATGATTAGTATTTCAAGTGATCACAATGTGCTAGAAAAGTTCTAAAAATTATTTACCAACACAAGTCATCATTAAAGAAGGCCAGGGTGAAGAAATTATTGTAGATAAACCATTTAGGAACAGGGTTAGGGTAAAATCAGGAAGGGTTCATTGTAACATTGAGGGGTTAGGCTGATGGTTAGGGTAAGGTTTTTTGGAAGTAAGTAGCCAGCTAAGGGCAAATTATTGGGTACGAGTTAGTAACTTAAGAAAGGTTAGGGACAGTTAGGAGGGAGGTTTGAGTAAGGGTAAATGTAGGAAGAAAGCTGGAGTAAGGTTAAGAAGAAAATTAGCTGAAGTATAGAGTTGGCATAGAAGCTAGGGTAAGGCTAGGTCGAAGGTCAAGGATAAGGCTAAAGGGAAGATAGGAGGTGGGTCATGGAGAGGTTAATGGGAGGATAGGAGGGAGATCATGGTTAGGTTAGGATCGAGATCAGTGTAAGGTTAGGATGGAGATCAGGGTAAGGTTAGGATAGAGATCAAGTAACAGTTAGGATGGATTACTGGTTTACTGGGGCTAACTGCCCGGCTTTTATGCAGGTCTCCCACCTGGTGGACACTCCCCTAGGGGACCAGATGGGAAACTAGGAAACATATTGGCTCTTAGCCAATCACATACATACACATTTAAACACTCCCACAATTACATCACAATCCCTCCTCTCTGTCCTGGAGATAATTGGGAAGTAATCCAATTATCTCCAAGGACAGAGGCAAAACTCCATTAACCACATGGCAGTAAAAATACAGTAAAATACATAAAATTACATACAGTCACATTTATTACCTAAAACATATACATTCTACATATCCCCAGATAGCTTAGATCGGAGCGCACATTACTACCGAATGGCGCTCCGATCACATACATACAGTTCAATCGCTTAGCTATCTGGGTGATGCTGTTCATCTGGCGAAACTACCGAATGAACAGTCATTCGGTTCTGCTACCGAATGGGAAGGTAAGGAGGCTTGCGGCTCAGCGGTGTTCGCGCCAATAAGTGTCTGTTTTCAGTTCCATAGTTTGGGCGCTGAGCACCGCTGGCCATTCCGAAGGTAAAATGGCTGCTGCCACGTGTTTGGCAGACGAACAAAGGCCACCCAGCGTTCATCAATTAACCTACAGTTAACCGCAGCTTCTGGGCGGTCAATTGACGGCACACTCCAGCTCCCAGGTGGTCCATCGTTCGGTAGTTTGAATCTACCGAACAACCCAGCAGAAAGGCACGAATAAACCTTTCAGTAGGGAAAATAACAGCTCTGAACTGCAGGGCCATAATCTAAAGGGAGCAGGCGAGCAACCAGGCTTCTCCAGTGCATAGTGGCGAGGTTGGTTCCGCCACACTTCTCCCCTTTACCAATCAGACTAACAGGGTATCTGACCTCCTGCCGGTCAGTGCCCTTGTTAGTCCAGCAGCCCACCCACAAAACATAATCAGTAATACAATCCACCCACAATAACTGGTTACTACACCTGGGTAGAGGAGAACTTTGTCCATGTCCAGGTGCCTCACCATGGATGTGTGGGTGGCTGGTAAGCAGACTGGGTGGGTGGGCAGAGACCAGCGGTTCCAGCACTACCACGGGAGTAGCCTGGTTGGAGCCTGGTTGTTGGAGTGGGAGACCGACTGTGCCAGCACTACCACGGGAGTAGCCTGGTTGGAGTCTGGTTGTTGGAGGGGGAGACCGACTGTCTCCCCTTTAGATACACAGCTCTGCTGCTGGATGGGAAGACCGACTGTCTCCCCTTCGGCTGAACAGCCCTGTCGCAAGGGGCAGAACCGACCTTCCCTACCCCCTGTAGCTTAATGTCTCCCCTTGGTGGGCTACGCTGCCGCTGTGGAGAGGGGGCAACCAGCTCTTCTCCCTGACACTCTCTCTTCTGGTGGAGAGGGGGACCGACTGTCTCCCCTTTCAATATATTGTCCTGCTGCTGGGGAGGAAAGATGGTATCTTCGGCTCCCTGGGACTCACTTGACTGCTGAGGAGAGTGACCAACTGTCTCCTCTCCTAAGAACACACACTGCCGCTGGGGAGGAAGGACGACACCTTCAGCTCCCTGAGACACACACTGCTGCTGGGGAGGAAGGACGGCACCTTTAGCTTACTGGGACACACACTGCCGCTGGGGAGGAAGGACGACACCTTCAGCTCCCTGGGACACACACTGCCGCTGGGGAGGAAGGACAACACCTTCAGCTCCCTGGGACACACACTGCCCCTGGGGAGGAAGGACGACACCTTCAGCTCCCTGGGACACACACTGCCGCTGGGGAGGAAGGACGACACCTTCAGCTCCCTGGGACACACACTGCTGCTGGGGAGGAAGGACGGCACCTTCAGCTCCCTGGGACACCCACTGCCGCTGGGGAGGAAGGACGACACCTTTAGCTCCCTGTAATACACACTGCCGCTGGGGAGGAAAGACGGCACCTTCAGCTCCCTGGGACACCCACTGTCGCTGGGGAGGAAAAATTCCAAGGACATTTTGGAGCACAGCTATCAATTACTGTCTGGGTATAATATCCCTGGACAGTCAGTGCTCTCTGTATAATACAGGGTTGTGTGTATAATAAATTGGGACACTCAGTGCTCCCTGCAGGGGCGTATTAGCCGCGAGGCAAACAAGGCATTTGCCTTGGGCGGCATTTTTCAGGGGGCGGCAAAAAACGCCGCCCCCCAAATGCCCAAGGCAAATGTCTTGTTAGCCTCGCGGCTAACAGACATTCTGGGCGCTGGGCGGCAGTGGCTGCAGCGCTGGGCGGGCGGGCGGCCGCCGAGGGAGCTCTTCCCCTGAGCGCTCTGCTCAGCTCCCTCGCGCGCCGCCAGCAGAGTGAGGCTGGGAGCCGGGTTGATGACGTCATATTCCGGCTCCCAGCCTCACTCTGCTGGCGGCGCGCGAGGGAGCTGAGCAGAGCGCTCAGGGGAAGAGCTCCCTCGCCGGCCGCCCGCCCGCCCTGCAGCCACTGGACCCTAGGGAGAGGAAGAACCCCCCCCAGCATTACCAAAGGTAAGGAGGCTGGGGGGGGGTTAAATAAAAAAATAAAAAAAAAACACTAGTGAGTGTGTGTATGTCTGCTAGTGTGTGTGTATGTATATTAGTGTGTGTATGTTAGTGTGTGTGTATGTTAGTGTGTGTGTGTGGATGTCTGTTAGTGTGTGTATGTTAGTGTTAGTGTGTGTGTCTGTTAGTGTTAGTGTGTATGTTAATGTTAGTGTACGTATGTTAGTGTTAGTGTGTGGATGTCTGTTAGTGTGTGTGTTTGCCTGTTAGTGTGTGTGTGTTTGCCTGTGAGTGTGTGTGTCTGTTAGTGAGTGTGTGTTTCTGTTAGCTAGTGAATGCGTATCTGTCAGTGAATGTGTGTGTGTGTATTTAGAAGGCGGAGCAGGGGGGAAGGTTGGGTGGCGGTTGCGCGGTTGCGCGGGTGGGGGTGGTGCCTGAGTTTTGTCCTGCCTAGGGCAGCACAAAACCAGGATACACCACTGGCTCCCTGTATAGTGCTGCTCCCTGTATAATACAGGTCTGTTTGTGTATAATATCCCAAGACAGAGAGCAGAACTATTCTGGGAGCACTGACTGTCCCGGGATATTATACAGGCACAGGCCTGTATTATACAGAGAGCAGCACTATACAGGAAGCACTGACTATCCCGGGATATTATATACACACAGATCTGTATTATACAGATAGCTGAGCATATACCCCATGTCCCAATCTCTAGACTACTAGTACCTGTCAACAGCAGCTCCCAGACCGTGTAACAGGGCTAAAGTGTGCGGCAGCTCACACAGATGATTCAGCGGTAAAGTACACTCGCTGGCAGAGCCAAACTGGGAATCCCTGGGAATCCAAAGCAGCCCTGGAAAAAAAATGTATGCCATTCCTACAAGTCAATATATATATATATATATATATATAGTAGAGTAAGCACACAAGCTCACTGACATGCGCAAATAGGCTTACTGACAGACAAAACTCTCTGACACTCACACAAGCTTACTACAGACAAACTCACTTGTATAAACAGAAGGCTCACTACAAAGAAGTTCAGGGACACACACAAGCTCACTGAAGACAAGCTCACTGACACACACATACTCACTAAATAGAAGCTCAATGACACACACAAACAGTACCATTTTAACAGAGTTAAGGGCCCATGGGCAAAGCAATGCACTGGGGCCCTTCCTACACAACAACTCACAGGAATTTTAATTATTGATAGACTGCTGAGTCCACACACACACACACACACACAGACTGCTAAGTCCACACACACACACAGACTGCTGAGTCCACACACACACACACACCACACACACACACACACACACAGACTGCTAAGTCCACACACACACACAGACTGCTGAGTCCACACACACACACACACAGAGACTGCACAAGGAGTCACACACACTGCTGAGCCAAACACACACAGACTGCTGAGTCCATACACACACACACACACAGACTGCTGAGTCCATACACACAGACTGCTGAGTCCATACACACACTGCTGAGTCCATACACACACAGACTGCTGAGTCCATACACACACACAGACTGCTGAGTCCCTTCAATACACACACAGACTGCTGAGTCCATACACACATACACACACAAAGACTGCTATGTCCATACACACACACACAGGAACTGCTATGTCCATACACACACGAGCTACTTGGAGTCACTTTACACACTGAACTGCCGGAGTCCATGCACACACAGACTGCTGAGTCCATGCCACACACAGAGACTTACTTTGAGGTCCATACACACAGACTGCTGAGTCATACACACACACACAGACTACTGCTGAGTCCATACACACACACAGACTACTGAGTCCATGTACACACACACAGACTGCTGAGTCCATACACACTCACAGACTGCTGAGTAAATACACACACACAGACTGCTGAGTTCATACATACACACACACACACACACACACAAACTGCTGAGTCCATACACACACACACACACAGACTGCTGAGCAGTGGGGAATCCAGAGCTTGATCTCGGGAGGGGCACTTGTAGATTATTTAAAGAAATAATCCAGACACAATAACCACTACAGCTCATGCCATTAGTTAGATTAAAAACAAAAGAAGGAAGGTATGTAGAAGAGGATAAAGGTCAGGCTGACTGCCTCAATGAATATTTTTGTTCTGTATTTACAGAAGAAAATGAAGGAAAGGGACCTCAGTTGAGCAAAAGGATAAATGAGTCATTTATTACACGTGAGTTTACAGAGGAAGAGGTTCTATTTCAACTGTCAAAAGTAAAGACAAATAAGTCAATGGGACCTGATGGAATACACCCAAAGCTATTAAAAGAGCCTAGTGGTGTACTAGCAAAACCATTAACAGATTTATTTAACCAATCATTGTTAACAGGAGTAGTCCCAGAAGATTGGAAGTTAGCAAATGTTGTGCCCATTTACAAAAAAGGTAATAGGGAGGAGTGGGCAACTATAGGCCAGTAAGCCTTACTTCAGTAGTGGGGAAAGTGATGGAAACCATGTTAAAAGGATAGGATTGTTGAACATCTAAAAACACATGGATTTCAAGATCAGAGACAACATGGGTTTACTTCAGGGAGATCATGCCAAACTAATCTTATTGATTTTTTTTTGATTGGGTAACTAAAATTATAGATCAGGGTGGTGCAGTAGACATTGCTTACCTAGATTTCAGTAAGGCTTTTGACACTGTTGCACATAGAGGCTTATCAATAAACTGCAATCTTTAAGTTTGGATTCCAATATTGTTGAATGGGTAAGGCAGTGGCTGAGTGACAGGCAACAGAGGGTTGTAGTCAATGGAGTATATTCGAAGCTTGGACTTGTCACCAGTAGGGTACCTCAGGGATCTGTACTTGGACCCATTCTCTTTAATATTTTTATTAGTGATATTGCAGAAGGTCTTGATAGTAAGGTATGTCTTTTTGCTGATGATACTAAGATATGTAACAGGGTTGATGTTCCAGGAGGGATAAGCCAAATGACAAATGATTTAGGTAAACTAGAAAAATGGTCAGAATTGTGACAACTGACATTTAATGTGGATGAGTGCAAGATAATCCATCTTGGACGTAAAAACCCAAGGGCAGAGTACAGAATATTTGATAGATTTCTAAAGTCAACATATGAGGAAAGGGATTTAGGGGTGATTATTTCTGATGACTTAAAGGTAGGCAGACAATGTAATAGAGCAGCAGGAAATGCTAGCAGAATGCTTGGTTGTATAGGGAGAGGTATTAGCAGTAGAAAGAGGAAAGTGCTCATGCCATTGTACAGAACACTGATGAGACCTCACTTGGAGTATTGTACACAGTACTGGAAACCGTATCTTCAGAAGGATATTGATACCTTAGAGAGGGTTCAGAGAAGGGCTACTAAACTGGTTCATGGATTGCGGGATAAAACTTACCAGGAAAGGTTAAAGGATCTTAACATGTATAGCTTGGAGGAAAGACGATATGATAGAAACATTTAAATATATAAAGGGAATCAACACAGTAAAGGAGGAGACTATATTTAAAAAAAGAAAAACTACCACAACAAGAGGACATAGTCTTAAATTAGAGGGACAAAAGGTTTAAAAATAATATCAGGAAGTATTACTTTACTGAGAGGGTAGTGGATGCATGGAATAGCCTTCCAGCTGAAGTGGTAGAGGTTAACACAGTAAAGGAGTTTAAGCATGCGTGGGATAGGCATAAGGCTATCCTAACTATAAGATAAGGCCCGGACTAATGAAAGTATTTAGAAAATTGGGCAGACTAGATGGGCCGAATGGTTCTTATCTGCCGTCACATTCTATGCTTCTATGTTTATGGTGTCAATAGTGCCGGGACCCCCTCCTAGAGTAAGTAGTCAAACCATTTAAGAATGGGAAATGGGGCTGTAGTAGGGCATAGGAGCAGTAGTGTGTGTGAGTGGTGCAATGTGTAAGGAAGGGGTGCAGTGTGTGTGTGTGTGTGTGTGTGTGTGTGAGGGGGACAGTGTGTGAGCAGTGTGTGTGTTTGAAGATTGTAGTGTGTGAGTGAGGGCGGCAGTGTATGTCAGGGATGCAGTGTGTGTGTAACAGTTGCAGTGTGTGTGTGTGAGTATTGCAGTGTATGTGTGAGTGTGGGCAATGTGTGTGTATGGGGTGGCAGTGTATGGGGGCAGTGTGTATGTGTGTAGAGTGTGTGTGTATGGGGGAGCAGTGTGTGTATAGGGGGCAGTGTGTGAGTATGGGGGGCAATGTGTGTGTGTGAGTCTATACACACACTGCTATGTCCATACACACACACAATAAGCCTACCTGTCACTGGAGGCTGTTGCTGGGGGTCAGGCAGCCATCTTCTGCAGCAGCATGGTCTGCTGCTTTACGGCGGGAGCGGGGCTTATGTGTGGGAGGCGGTTCTTCGTTTGGGGGCGTGGCCTGTGCCGGGGAGCCTGTAAGTGCTCCCTCCAGCCACAGACAGCCCCCAGCACTGCATTGCCTCGGGCTGTAATAGCTTGTTACAATCCGAGGGAATATAATTGAAACACATGGCCAGCATTTGGGGGGGCCCAAGGGGGGGCACAGCATGATGTAGGGGGGGCCATGGCCCCCTCTGGCCCCCCCTAGCGATGCCACTGACATAGTTACATAGCTGAAAAGAGACTTGTGTCCATCAAGTTCAGCCTTCCTCATGTTTGTTTTTGCTGTTGATCCAAAAGAAGGCAAAAACAAACAAACAACAGTTTGAAGCACTTCCAATTTTGCAACAAACTAGGAAAAAAAATTCCTTCTTGACCCCAAAATAGCAGTCAGATTTATCCTTGGATCAAGCAGTTATTACCCTACATTGAAAGATTATATCCTTGAATATTCTGTTTTTGCAAGTATGCATCTAGTAGCTGTTTGAACATCTGTATGGACTCTGATAAAACCACTTCTTCAGGCAGAGAATTCCACATTCTGATTGTTCTTACAGTAAAAAAACCTTTCCTTTGCCTTAGTCGAAATCTTCTTTCTTCCAGTCTAAACGCATGACCTGGTGTCCTATGTAAAGTCCGGTTTGTGAATAGATTTCCACACAATGGTTTGTATTGGCCCCGAATATATTTGTATAATGTTATCATATCCTCATATCCCCTCTCAGGCAACGTTTTTCTAAACTAAATAGGTCTCATTCCCCCCCAGCCTCTCCATGTGTCTCATTCCCCCCAGCCTCTCCGTGTGTCTCATTCACCCCCCAGCCACTCCGTGTGTCTCATTCACCCCACAGCCACTCCGTGTGTCTCATTCACCCCACAGCCACTCCGTGTGTCTCATTCACCCCACAGCCACTCCGTGTGTCTCATTCCCCCCCCAGCCTCTCCCTGTGTCTCATTCCCCCGCAGCCTCTCCCTGTGTCTCATTTCCCCCCCAGCCTCTCCCTGTGTCTCATTTCCCCCCGAGGTATGGTATAAGCCTGGAATTGCAGTGTTTCAGCTTGAAAAAAAACTGCACATCCAGAGTTATTCTTAATTGTGTGCTGGGGGTAAGTTGGACCTCCAGCCAAAGTGATAGAGTTCTGGGCTGCCCAATGTCAAATCTGTGCAAAAATTACCTCTGTCTTCAGCGCGCACTGCACACTGCCAAGAGATGTAACCGCTTCTCACGTGCGGACAAAGCCTGCCCTCCCTCGCCCACTGAGGAAAGCCCTCCACCTTACAATCCCTTTTGCAATTTTCTTTAAAAATCCCCAGTTTAAATCAGTTATGCAACAACATGTACTGAGAAATTCATCATTATTGTATGACATAATTGGATGTTATCGCACCTGTATTTTTGTGCATGTCTGGGTAATCTGCAGCACCTTTCAATCCTCTTAATTCACACACTAAACATGTAGATTTCTTTGTACATTAAGTGCCTAAAACTCACAGTAAAGTACAGCGTGTATGAGTGTATCACAGAGCCCCACACCAATAAAACTCACAGTAAAGTACAGTTTGTATGAGCGTATCACAGAGCTCCCCAGCAATAAAACTCACAGTAAATTGCAGTATGTATGAGTGTATTAAAGAGCTCCCCAGCAATAAAACTCACAGTAAAGTACAGTTTGTATGAGCGTATCACAGAGCTCCCCAGCAATAAAACTCACAGTAAATTGCAGTATGTATGAGTGTATTAAAGAGCTCCCCAGCAATAAAACTCACAGTAAAGTACAGTTTGTATGAGCGTATCACAGAGCTCCCCAGCAATAAAACTCACAGTAAATTGCAGTATGTATGAGTGTATTAAAGAGCTCCCCAGCAATAAAACTCACAGTAAAGTACAGTTTGTATGAGTGTATTACAGAGCTCCCCAGCAATAAAACTCACAGTAAAGTACAGTTTGTATGAGTGTATTACAGAGCTCCCCAGCAATAAAACTCACAGTAAAGTACAGTTTGTATGAGTGTATTACAGAGCTCCCTAGCAATAAAACTCACAGTAAATTGCAGTATGAGTGTATCACAGAGCTTCACACTAATAAAACTCACAGTAAGATGTGGTGTTTATGAATCACAGAGCTCCATAGCTATAGCTCACAGTAATTCAATTTAATAATTAAATTTTGGCATCTAGGAAGGAGGGGAGGATCAAGTTCTTTGATATACACACACGAAACGCTATTGGCTATTTTTGAGAAGCAAATGCATTAAACTGATTTTTGCCACTGCGTTCTCTTAGAAGCTTACCCAGTCCAAACAAAGGGTGTAGCTTACATGATCCATTAATACATCATTCAGTTTTACTGGAGTTCGTAACTGGAGAAAGAAATAGCAATCATCATCATGCAACTATTTACTAACCGGTTATATTAATTAATTATATACTTTTTTTACAATGACCTCCTTGTCTTCTCTTCTCCTCCTATCTGCCATTTTCAAAAACCTCACAGCATGATAACAACCCGCCCTATTCAAGCAGTGTGGAAAGGGGCCAGGCCGAGAGACCTGGATCCTAACTCCCAGCCACCCCAGTCAGCATCCTGGACCCCAGGGAAGCCAGCCTCTAGCAAAAAAGTAAGAAACTGGAGGGTGGATATCAATGTGTAGAATGTGCATGTGTGTCTGAGTGTGCCAGTATGTCTGTCAGTGTATTGTGTGTGTGTTAGTGTGTGCCAGTATGTCTGTCAGTGTATTGTGTGTGTGTTAGTGTGTGCCAGTATCTCTGTCAGTGTATGTGTTACTGTGTGTGTATAGGAGTGTGTCTGTCAGTATGTCTTTTAATGTATGTGTGTGTCAGTGTGTCTGAGTGTGTGTGTGTCTGTCAGTATGTCTGTCAGTTTATGGGTCAGTATATGTGTCTGTGTATATGTGTTCGTGTGTATATGTGTTTGTCAGTGTGTCAGTCAGTGTATGTGTCAGTATGTTTTTCAGTATATGTGTCTGTTAGTATATGTATCAGTATGTGTCTGTGTATCTGCATGTTGTCAATGTGTGTATCTGTGTGTGTGTAGGTGTCAGTGTGTATATGGGTGCATCTGTATATAGTCAGTGTGTATCTGTGTATCTGTTTGCCTGTGTATATACATGTGTGTCAGTGTTTGTATCTGTCTATCTACATGTGTGTCAGGTTGTGTATCTATATGTGTGTCAGTGTATCTGTATGTTGTCATTGTGTGTATCTATATGTAAGCAGTGTGCGTATTTGTGTGTGTGTATCTGCATGTGTGTCAGGTTGTGCATCTGTGTGCATGTATCTGTGTCAGTGTGTGTGTCTGAATATCTGCACTACACACAAACACACTCCTGCATTAAAACTTTAACACTACATACAAACACACTTCTGTGTCAAAAAACAAAATTAAATATAAAAACACCCCTGCATTCAAATGCCAACACTACATAAAAACACACCCCTATATTCACACACATACTCCATACAAAGCCATGTTTACATTCACTCACACATACTCCATACAAAACCATGCTTACATTCAAAAACACAAACACTGTTCGGTGCTAAATACAACCCAGCAAGCATGCGAAAATTGTAGAGTCCCAGCAGTCAAAGCATTGTTGGAGTTGCATGACAGATGGGGATCGACCTTTTGGCCCCCCCCCTGCAAAAGCAGGGCCCCAAAAAAGTTATCTCTCTACTTTAGTTCCACCACTGCATTGTAATGTAGGTTGTGATTGCATGCCAGGCAGTGGGGATGAGAGGGAGATGGGGGGGGGGGCAGTGTGTGTATGTGGGGGGCAGTGTGTGTGTAGGTGGGGGGCAGTGTGTGTATGTGGGGGGGGGCAGTGGGTGGAATGTGGGGGGCAAAGTGTATATGTGTGGGGGCAGTGTGTATGGGGGCAGAGCATGTGTGTATGGGGAGGCAGTGTGGGGGCAGTGTGTGTGTGTGGGGGGGCAGTGTGTGTGTGGGGGGGCAGTGTGTGTGTGTGTGGGCTGTTTATGGGGGGCAACATGTGAATGTGTGGTGAGGAGGGTGAGGAGGGCTTTTTGATAAAAATAAATAATGTATAAAATCAAATAAATGTATGTATGTTCGATCCCTGGTGGTCCCAGTGGGAATCCCTGGTGGTCCCAGTGGTTAGAGTGAACTGGGGGTAAGGCTGAGCTCCCGGGTCCTCTCTCCCACCCCTGCCGGCTCCCAGCACGGTGCCTGCAGACCGGGGAGGGAGATCTTGGACAGTGCCAGCCCTGCATTAGCCAGCAGGGGAGAATCTCGGGGGGGGGAGGGCAATTGCCCCGTTGCCCCCGCCATGGATCCGCCAGTGGCCCAGGGTCCAACCATTATTAAAGACTGCAATGTCTATCACCCTCTTGGATCATCCTCCAAATTCATTGACAACTTTTCCACCTGGCTAGCTCACTTTCTCTCTCTAAATATGCTGTCGCTAATACTTGGCAACTTCAATATCCCAATTGGTAACCAGCCTGCCCCTGCTGCCTCCAAGCTTGTTTAAGTCACATCATCCTATGATCTCTCTCATTCCACCTATTTAAAGCTCACTGTGAGGAACAGGCATTGTTTTAGCCCATTGTTATTTTACTATGTAATATCGTCTATATTTATAATAAATTATTCTTTCTACTTATTATAAACCAAATAAATAAAGGATTAAACATGGGGCAGTACTCTTCTCATTTTGGTTATTTTTAACGAACAATATGTAGTATCTAGCACTGCTCTCCCAATCTACAAATAATGTCTGCATGTGAGTAAATATATATCTGTTTAATTAACGTGTTATCCTCATTATAGTATATTTCATCCCAGGTCACTATATATTATAAATACTTGTACCATTTTAAAACACACACGATATCCTAAACAATCCATGATGAAGTGATGGTGCTTTATCAAAACGCATGGGGCGGCACTTTGCATAGAGCCTCGTAACAGCTTCTCTTCGCCAGTGTCATGATCAATAGCAGCGAGCAGGAGTTTCCAACATCAGGCGGTCGAGGTATGAGCTTAATACCTTTTGGATGTTGTAACAGACTTTCCTACAATAAAGAGGTTTTAACCTCCAGATACAGGACGTATAACTACTAAATGTCCATGTTTTTAACATCAAATTTGAAACAACAGTGTTTTATAGAGAGCAGTATCAGTTTCTCTTCCGAAGAACATTGTTTTGTTAAGAATTTCCCCTCATTTGAAGTCTTTTGTGTTTTTCTTTTGCCTCTAAAATATGGTTAGGTAGGTACTAGACAGTTGTGTTGAGTCAGTGGTATATGACACGGGCATCCTGATAAACGTAATGTTTGATATTATTACTGCTTCTAAGTGAGAATTCAGTGAATCTGATCCATCATATATGAATAGTGTATTTGTGTTTCCTTGAAGCCAGTGTTGGTAACAAAACAAACCTTTTAAGTGCTCTAACATGTACTCTCTAAGGTAAAAGGTCCCTTTAGTCTCGCTGCATTCTTACAGTTCCATCTCAGTAACATGTTCCAATCTTTAATCTCAGGATCCCTTTGCTATGCATCTGGGTGTAGAAGAAAAACTCATCAGGCATGGAATGGAAGCCAGGTTTTGGCACTTTGTTATCATAATAGCGATGTGAAATTGGTTTCCCTGTTGCACCTCTAGAAAAAGGCCAGAAACCATAGAGTGTGACCTCATCGCAGAGCTCCAAGGCTGTGCTGACAATTATGAGGCCAGAGGACAAACGACGAGCTGTAAGACCCTTATTTATCCAGTAGAGAGCAAGGTTCTTCAAATAGTCTGGGTGGAAGTAAGCCACCTTCTGCTGTGACTCAAAGTCTTGCAAAGTATGAAAAACTTTAAAGGAAACGTCTACATTGCTGGTAAAGGAGAAAGCTGGCATCACGATCAGGGCAGACTTGTATGCCTTTAGATCATCAATAAAGGGTTTCCTCTCCTCGTCCAGTTTTGAGTAGCTGAAATAGAAGTACATGTTCTTTAGACCTATATCATGTGTTATATAAAGATTCAAGGTATCTTTATTCCAGGGCTCGCCACAGTAATAATCAGCCATCAACTAGCCACCGGCTAACTAAGCATCATGGGAACTGTAGTTAAGTACAGCTGATGAGCCACCTGTAGACACCTTCTCCTCCATGCACTGATATAATATATCAGTCTGTTCTTTACCTGGTGTGCAGGATACTTGGATTCGCAGTGACCAGGTCTGTCTTTGTTCCAATGTCTCCTGCATAATTCATGGGCGGCAAATTAAACCTGCGAGGAGGAGAGAATAAGAGGTTAATAAGACTCGACAAGGCCAGAGCTTGGAATGCGTCTCTCCCTGTATTCCCACAATAAAATACCATAATATATAGAATATGGAGGCGCTGCACAGGGTTCAAATTATCTTAGAATTAATCAATGGCTTTGGGTTAATAAAACTAGAATATCATATGAGCATAGACCAAAACCCCCAATAAAATGTTTAATTAGTGGCAGTGATTTCGGATTAATTAATGTTACTTTATGCTCTTTTAGGTAATAGGGGTATAAAATCCTGATTATTAACCCCTTCATACCCACACGCTCCCTACTACGATGCCTTGGCAGCGATGACAAACTGGTGGCCGAGGTAGGTTAGGAAAGGTAAATGAATGGTAGTATTTGTTGGAAATCACCATAAGGCACAACCACAGTGTCCAAAAATATCAATCCATAAAAGTAGTAACAGAAAGCATATCATCTAGTTAGTAACTGTTCTTCACATCATTGTACCCCGTCTCACTGTAAAACCCCATGACATCTTGCTAATCCACCTAGTCAGTGACCATTTATATTAAATTATTTATATAATGAATATGGTTAAACACACACTGTAAACCTGCCATTATTGGTGCAGGGTATGTTGAATGTATTGCTTGTCTGTGCCTCCCCCCCTCCCCCTTTTTCCTGTCCTATTGTTTCCCCAGCATGCGCCCAGACCTGAGCTACCGAATGAATAGTCGAATGAACTATATTCCCATTAATATATCAAAGTTATGTATTTTTATGCTGTTTTCTAGGACAAAATAAAGCATGGTCTTTTGGGCGCTTGGAGATAATTAGATTGCATAACCGTTGGACTCATTATCTCCAAGCTGGGCGGGTACTAGTTTGAATGATACAGTGTAATATGATTGGTTGAATTCCTGTATTGTACCTGTATCCCATCAGGTCCGGAGGGGGCTGTCCCTGGACCCGAGGACTTGCATAAATTGCGATGCCTGGGTGCCATTAAAGCCAGTTCGTTTTACCCTCAACTCGCAGCCTCGACTTGTGTTGTAGGGAACCGGGAATCCTAGCTTTATTATAGCTAGTGGGATATTCTACACTTACAGGTCTCTACTGATTGAAGCACCGTTCGACCCTCTGACTTCGGGAACCAGGACATCTAAGCGATCCAACCTCCTGCTAGAACGGAGGCAATCGTAACAATTAGTGGCAGCGACGGGATCATCCTGGATTTCCTAGGAGAGGTATAGAACGGATGGAGAGCAACTACGATAAGCTGAAGCGCACCACTTTAAAAGATTTACTGGAAAAGGGTGGTGGGAACGCAAGCAGCCGACAAAGGAAAGAACTGATTGCTGACCTAACAGAGCTAGACCAGAGCTTCACCATGACAGAACCCACAGTAATGACCAGCGACGAGAAGACAAGGATTGTCAGGGAAAGGCTTCCCCTGTATGGGCCGAACCCGTCTGTGGAACTGGTGCAGCAATTGATGGCGGATATACAAAGAGCTAGAGCCTCACGAGCTCAGCGTACTGACCGCCAAGCATATTCCTACCATAACAGAAGATCCTGTTCGCAGCATTCAAGCCATTTGAGGAAAACGAGATGGGGATTGACGAATATTTAGCCGCCTTCGAGAGGCAATGTGCTCTTCATCAAATCCACACAGCAGCATGGCCTCGTATCCTGGCAGGGAAACTAGCCGGACGAGCAATGGAGGCTTTTAGGACTCTCAGCACAGAAGAGGTGGCCCAATATCCGCTAATGAAAGACCCAACGACCTCAACGAAGCAGCGAGACTGGCCGATGAACACCGAGACTCTCAGATACAGGAATTCAACAACTCCTGAACTGTGACACGTACCAAACCGAGAGACAATCACCGAAACAGTCCACGAGCGGAGTTTCGTACGCCTGTGCCAGCAGGACCTACCCGATACACCGGACCACCCAGCCACTACTAACAAGAACGCTTCCGTCCCACCTGCTTCAGATACAAACAGTCGGGGCACCTCATAGCCAACTGCCCCCTCAACAACAACTACCTCTCAGGGAATTATAATTCATCCCCCTCGGGAAATACCTGACCAGCTCATGCTTTCTGTGTTGATAAGGAAAGCCCTCTGGAAGAGTATCTAGGACCCCTCCGTGAAGCCGACCCCGTGTATGCAGCGAACGATAAACGGCAGCACCACAGACAAGAGGTATTGCTGGATGGCCATCCCACTCAGGGGTTATGAGACACCGGGGCCACTATCACCCTGGTGCAAGGCCGCCTGGTTCCAGAATCTTGGCGCTCTACAGACACCGTAGGAGACAGCTGGTCATCCCCCACAAATATAGACGAGATCCTCCGGGTGGGTCACGACATCCCATTAGCCGGGCACCTAGCGGTAACCCGTACCCCTCCACCGTATTACCCACGCCTTTTTCTGGCCCTGGGTACATGCGGATGTGAGGACTTACTGTAATACTTGCGAGGTCTGCCAGAGAGTGGGCAAGAGAGGAGACCACCCCAAGGCACACCTCGTC